ATACAGAAATATATTCACAATACTGTAGTTTTGATTAAAATAAGTGAATGTTTGTCTCAACTATAGAGAGAGACTGAGAACTCCTAATAAGTTGTATAAGTATTATGTGAACAGAGTTTTTAGCGCATATATTGATGGAGTATTGCATAGAGTAGTGTAAATGTCCTTCACTTTTATTTTTGTATATACAGTATATTTATGTTTATTCTCCGCACATATTCTTTGCAAATGCGCTCTCAGTTGCCATCCTATGGGGCAATGCATATACGAAATGCCATTTTGCACCAAAAATAAAACTATTTTTACACACTTTTTACCATTTATTACCATTTCATTCATTCATTCGCTCAACTTTTTCGCTGCCTTAAGACTAGAGTTTTAAAAATAATTGTTTAAAACACATATACTTTGAGGGATCAATGAATCGATGGTTATATCATATAACTTATAGCACTTAATGTACTCTATACATGTATGTCTGTATAATTAATGATTGGATTCATTTCGTGACATTGGATTCACACGACTATTAAATGTGCCGTCAATTTGATTGTATATGAGATCTGAAGGCAGAATATTCTCAGACAAAATATTAACTGTTTTTTAAAAAGTTCACTCATTTTTGTGGTCAACCATCGGAATGGGAAACATCGAGACTGTGGGCCCGAACGAGGCGTTGATAGTGTCTGGCGGCTGGTGTGGAGCGACTGAACGCAAGTTTGTGATCGGCGGTTGGGCGTGGACGTGGTGGATGGTGACCGATGTTCAACGCCTGTCCCTACAGATCATGACATTGAAGCCCAGGTGCGAGAGCGTCGAGACGGCACAGGGAGTGCCTCTCAGTGTCACCGGTATAGCCCAGTGTAAGATTATGCACGAGAAGGACTTTCTGACCATCGCTGCCGAACAGTTCCTCGGCATGAGTGTCCGGCAAATTCATCACGTGCTCAATGAAACGCTCGAGGGTCATCTACGCTCTATTCTCGGTTTGTTATACTTTTTATTATACATTTAAAAAATGTAAAAAAAGAATTATTAAATTTTATCAATGTTTTTGTGGGCATTAACTGATGGGCACTAATAGGCACGTTGACAGTAGAAGCCATATATCGAGATCGGGACCAATTCGCGGCACTGGTGCGAGAGGTGGCCAATCCAGACGTGGGCCGAATGGGTATTGAAATCGTGAGTTTTACGATACAAGACGTGTACGATTCGGTGGAGTACTTGTCCTCTTTGGGCAAAACCCGAACGGCGGAAGTGAAAAGAGACGCCCAGACGGGGGTGGCGTTGGCCGAGAGGGACGCCGGCATACGGGAGGCTCACTGTAATCGGGAGTCAATGGAAACCAAATACAGTGCCGACACTAAGATAGAGGACGCGCACAGACTCTTCTCGCTAGAAAAGGCCAAATATGATGGAGAGGTATGCCTTCGCCCACGAGATTTCACTCTCCTTTGTAAATATCTATTTGAATGTTATTTTAGGAAACTTTTAGTTTTGTTGTTGTAATCGTTGATCTCTTTTGTTAATATCGGAAAATAATAGAAAGTATTTTTAGCAATAAATACATAAAAAGGAAATATAAAATTCAAATTATATTTAATTAGTTTACGCTATAATATTGCTTTCACTAATAAAATATTGTGTCTCACATTCTCTCCATATATAGTCTAACATTTGACATATTTATGCGACACTTATTTCGCTCGCTTTTGTCAATATTTCTTATAAATTGATATTTTTGTCGTACAAATTATACACTCGTTTAGGAATCTATTACTTTATAAAGAAATAAATTATTTGTTGTGCACTTAAGTAGAGCTAAAAGCTATAATTTATGAGAGAATATCTAACTTTATGGTGAAATAACAATATTCAGGTCAACACAAAGAAAGCTGAGGCACAGTTGGCTTATGAGCTTCAGTGCGCAAAACTGCAACAATTGATACGAAATGAAGAGATGGAGATAGAAGTGGTCGAAAGGAGGAAAGAGATCGACATTCAGGAAAAGGAGATCTTAAGGAAGGAGAAGGAACTCATGTCTAAAGTGAAACTCCCGGCGGAAGCCGAGGCCTATCGGGTGGAGATGATTGCCGGCGGCGAGCGAACCAAAACCGTGGCCGTCGCTCAGGCCGGCGCTCAACGTATCAAATTGATTGGCGCAGCCCAGGTATGCGCACAGCAACTGGTGGTTCACATACAGTATATACTAACTGTTGAACATAAATATGCCAAAAATATTATAAAAGTTATTCATAAAATTGATTTTTTTGTGCATTTGATTGAAGGCTTACGGCATCGAAGCGGTGGGAAAGGCAGAGGCGGAACGGATGCGGATGAAAGCGGCGGCATATAAACAATACGAAGACGCGGCTATTCTGGCCCTCACTCTGGAAGCACTGCCGAAGATCGCGGCCGAAGTGGCGGCTCCGTTGGCCAAAACTGATAGCATTGTCCTCATTGGCAACGATAGCGGAGGGGCGACCGACGCTCTCGTGTCACTCGTGTCACAACTCCCGCCCACTATTCAGGCGCTGACCGGAATTAATGTGACCGGACTTCTGGGCAAAATACCCGGCGCTGTAACACAAAGTTAAGCATTAATTTGGCACAAATTTATATTGATTATCCAATTTATATATTATTATTAAGTATAATAATGTATTATTAATAACTTCTCTTTTTGTACTTTATTTTAAAATAAGTATTATTTGAATGAATTGTTTACCGAAAAGCATAAGTGCCTCCGAATCGCACCTAAACTTTATGCCATTTATTTAGGGATAAATTTTTCAAAAGCAAACAATGAATATTTTTATGATTATTATTATAAATATTCTGTAATATAAATCTCAAAACCACTCAATTCATGACAACACTGATGAACAACAAAATACACTTTATTCTCATTTGTCATTACTTTTGTAATAAAACTAAACATAAATAATTAAATGTGTTTAATTGATAGTAGCCAATGTATCCGGCAACTTAAGTCTANTATAAACAATACGAAGACGCGGCTATTCTGGCCCTCACTCTGGAAGCACTGCCGAAGATCGCGGCCGAAGTGGCGGCTCCGTTGGCCAAAACTGATAGCATTGTCCTCATTGGCAACGATAGCGGAGGGGCGACCGACGCTCTCGTGTCACTCGTGTCACAACTCCCGCCCACTATTCAGGCGCTGACCGGAATTAATGTGACCGGACTTCTGGGCAAAATACCTGGCGCTGTAACACAAAGCTAAGCATAAATTTGGCACAAATTTATATTGATTATCCAATTTATATATTATTATTAAGTATAATAATATATTATTAATAACTTCTCTTTTTGTACTTTATTTTAAAATAAGTATTATTTGAATGAATTGTTTACCGAAAAGCATAAGTGCCTCCGAATCGCACCTAAACTTTATGCCATTTATTTAGGGATAAATTTTTCAAAAGCAAACAATGAATATTTTTATGATTATTATTATAAATATTCTGTAATATAAATCTCAAAACCACTCAATTCATGACAACACTGATGAACAACAAAATACACATTATTCTCATTTGTCATTACTTTTGTAATAAAACTAAATATAAATAATTAAATGTGTTTAATTGATAGTAGCCAATGTATCCGGCAACTTAAGTCTAACTGATAATATTTATGTCAACCTGTCTATTAGCATATGTAAACACCTGTAGTCAAACAGTTATAGCTTAAGTGCACTTTATTTGTGATCAATAATTTTGCATCAATTTGAAGCTTATTATGTAAAGCTTTATATCAGACCCACTTTCCGCTGTAGTATCAGATGATAATATATTATGTTTTCTCACTTTTTAATAAACCAGTTGTTAATTGTTGTCCAATAGTCTATACGACGGATCTCTGTTAAGGTCTGTCCTTCTAATGAATCTAATTCTCGACTCATAGGAATCACCACAAAGTGATCCAATGGTTCTGAAGGCCACTAAATATTGTGTAATAACTGTTATAAATTACAAAAATTCATTTCATTACAAAATTGATGAACAAAAACATACACTTTTTCGTCTCATATTTTTGTATTTAAAATAGAAAAACATTTAAAATTAATTAATTAATTTGTGAACCATCTAGGATCTCTACAAAAGTGTTCTTTATTTAATTAATTATTACAAAAATATGTCAGTTTTATTAAAATCCTGTTTGACTGACAGTTATAACTATAAATACTCTATATTTATGTTAAAAAATTTTTAAAACATATATATTTAACAATGAATTAATTGATATTATAAATATTAAATATAAACAAGATATTATAAAAACCAGAGTATTTCTATTCAAAAATGACATTTTTGAAACATCGATGTTTTATAAATGAAATGTTATTTATAAAAATGATTGTTTAATAAATGTTAAACTCGTATATAATTTGTGTTTCGGTGTTTTATGTCGTATTTGTTTTAATAGTTA